GTAGATCATTCGCCTCTGCCGTGTAGTTTGCCGGTGCCAGTAGTAGAGGTTTTTCATATCCGGAGTAAAAGCAACCAAAACTGAAACAAACAATCCTCAAATGGTTAGGTGTTATAGGTCTTTTGTCATTCTTCCTTTCTTTCTTTTCGTACTTTAAACTTTCTTTCGACTGAATTCTCTTATCTTCACCTTTCACCTCACTACCTTTCTACTTGATGTTATGATATGAGGTGTGGCAACTCGGACCGTTACGCAGTAATGCCTGGTCCTATGTTGATATTGATGATGTTATAGATCTTTGCGGTCTTACGGTGCAGGCAGCATGGGTTTTTCTTATCCAACGTTAGAATAAACAGCTGACAAACCAATAATCTTAGAAAGGTTGAGTAACAAAGCGTCAAGCAGATGTTTCGTGAGTTCTGCAGTCGCGCCAATCTTTTTCTCTTTCAGGTACCCTGCAAGAACAACTTTCACGGTGTGAGCAAACGAAAGGTATCAACTGGCAGCAAGTTTTCAGTAGTATACAACCTCGGTTTATTATTTTGCCTTTACCTCCTGAAAAAAATATTAAGCCTTTCACACCTGCAAAGTCACACTCTGTGACCATTCCCAACGATCCAAGCTATCGACACCCTATTCCAGGTCTCCCAAGACCGTGCTGTTGGTCTCGGATCCGCGCTTTCTACGCCCGAGCATTATGCCTAATCGGATATCAGGTATCGCTCGACAAAATCCTAGAATCTTGAGTCATGGATATATGATACACTTCTGAGACAAATGCACAAGAAACGAACGTTGGTACCCAGTTGATAACAAAGGACGAAGTGGTGAACCTGTGAGGCTTGCCGTAGGAATAACCAGAAATTCACTAGCTAGTTCTGTCGCATTCGCTGGTGTAGATGTAGGATTATGTTATCGACCAAAGAATTTGACCCTAACAATCTCTCAGGATAAGTGGCTTGAACATTGGGCAGAACACTTTAACACAGAGTCCAACTGGCCCATAGCAATGCAGCAGTTGCCTAACATCCAGCCTGAACCTAAGTGGGATGCTGATATGAGTCGTCTAACTCCCCTCGAAGTTGAGAAGGCTGTATCGGACTTGAAAGGGTGCAAAGCAGTAGGACCTGACAGTTTGCCACCAAACGCTTTTAAAGATGGGAGTAGAAAATTACTGAATATAGTGACACAGCTACTAAGTAGTGTACAGGAATCAGAAGTAATGACGTCAGACCGGTTCACTTCACTGACCAGTTCAGTTTATGACAAGGGAAAACGTCTTCTATAGCAACCATCGAGAAACCAGTTGACTAATATCATGGCAAAGACTTTTGAGTCCATAGTTATTCGACCCCCATATGAGGCTCGATGGCAACAATATGGAAAAAACTAGGTAGGTTTCAAACCCGGATATGGGTGCATCGATCAGATCTCTAAACACTGACAAGCCCTGGAACACAGGTATACTTATCAGTGACCGACACTTGTCATATTTCTTAACCTGAAAGCGACACTCAACTCTATCTACAGACAGGCATTGTGGTGTCTCACTGTAAAGGGAGTACTGAGCAAGTGTGTAACACTCATCAAAGCTGTCTTCTTCAACTCACACAGCCATGTTAGAGCTTATGGGAAGTTGTCATCTGAATTGAAAACTAGTTGTGTCCGCCAGGGATGCCCACTTTCAAAGTTCCTATTTAACTTCACTATAGATATACTAATGGGAATAACCTTAGGTGCGCCTGACTTTACTGAGATTGATTTACTCCATAGGATTCATCTGGTTGACCTGGAGTGTGTAGGTGATATTGTCCTGTTGGGTGAAGACACTGACAAAATGCAGGGTTTTCTGAACGCATTGAGCAGAAACATGAGAATGTTTGGCATGTGTCTTGCTGGCACCTGTCAAATGTGAGATGATGTTCCAGGACTGGTCTGAAACTACTACTAGTTTAAGGATAGGAAGACAAGTGGTGGGAAGCGTCGCCTAATACACAGATCTGAGCAGATGCATCAACATAAACGGGCTGCTTGTTGACGAAGTTTCAGGGCAGATACAGAAGATCCGTTTGGCGATTGCAAGCCAACTTGCGTCACCTATGGAATGATGTGCAACTACCTGCTTAAGGATGAGTATACTGCACTGCAGTCCGTTCATCCTGCTGTACGATTGTGAGACATGGCAGTCACAAATGGAAAAACTGAAGTGGTTACAAGATTCGATCATGGATGTCTTCGCACTGCTCACGTATAGTAGAATCACAGTCTGATTGATTTCGGGGTTAGATGAAAAGTACCAAGAAATAAATAAAAGTCATACGATGACACAGAGAACCTTCATCAACAGACGTAGTTTGGACAAATGTTGTGCATGCCAAGCCACCAACAGTCTCAACGTGCAGCGCTAACAGTAAGTGGGTTAGGTTGTAAGTGGACTCAGGTTGCCCTGAATGTTTATAGTCTGGATCCAGGTTTAGACACTAAAGTTAACAAACCTGTACCCCTATCTCAGTGACACGGATGCATCTACACCTTGTCTTCGTATGAATCATTACTTCACACTTATTTATTGGTTTCATTTCCCTTTTCCTGTCTTATTACTTTCTACCTCTGTTGGGATTATTGTTTCAATTTTGTTTTCTCCTCAAATGGTCTCACCTCAGTGTGCTGGCGTGAAGTGTGGTAAGCTAGAGTGTTGGGCAATTAAGTTAGATGTCCATTGAGGAGACCGTCAACTTCGTCTCAGTGTTAAGTGAAGTAGATTCAGGGTGGGAAAAGGTTGGAGGTGGCCAAAATAAGACATTGCATCAGTCCCTGAATTCCTTGATTATTGATGTAAGCCATGTAGGGTAATGTAGACTTTCTGGTTGCAGTCCAGCTGACAAGGAAAACTGATGTTCCTAGACTGAATGACAGATATGGCCCAAAGTCAATATCAATGGTGCAGACAGATACATACACTATCTTCATCTTAATCATCATGTCGGATTTCGTTATCGTCACATTTTATGCTGCTCACTTCTCATGACTTTCTCCTACCACCTCTGACTTCTTTCTTCCTGTTTTCTCTATCTTTTGTTATGGCGCATTCTCGCTTGATATGCTGATATGAGATCTGATAACTGAAACCGTTATGCAGTAATGCCAGGCTCCACGTTGATCATGGCAAACTTTCCAAAGAATACACATCGACGTTATAAACTTGCACAATTACAATGACGTTGTTATAGCTAGAGCTCTCAAGTGATCTGGTGTACTTACAATCAATAGGAAGGACTGTGTGCAGGAAACGTTGATTTCGAGTGATTCCTCGAGATTCTAGGTCGATCAATATCAGAAATTTCCAACAATATCAATCGGAAGCAGAGTTAGTAAACAATTTGAGGAATGTTCAAAAAAGAATTTATACGATGGTGCAACGTATATCGCTTTCAGTACAAAAGGTCTACAGAATGTCACTTTGACACCCATATTGTGGATAATAAATTCGCCTTGTCACAAGTCAGTCTGTCGATTAAAGCTAATACGGGAACACATCAGAGAAAGACCAGTTATTCACAGTCTCAGAGACAGTTTTTATCTCCTTCAAAAACTGGATAAGTTGGATTTTTGCATGAGTTTATGTTACCTTTCAATGTTTATGAATTATTTACAAACATACTATCAGCAGATGAAATTATCGAAATGCTCTGTTTACAAGGTGAACAACCTTCACTGTTAAACAGATTTGAAACAACTGTTGCGTCTTTGTGCATATAGTTTACAGATCCAGTTTAACAGACAATTGTACTGGCAAATTGATGGAGTGATCGTGCCATCTATTTTACCTACCATCTTTGTGTCTCATCTGCTGCTACTTTAGCTGCTTTTGATGATATGAATCATGCATCACTTTTGTTTGAGGCTTTCAACCGAATTCATTCTAACATAAACTTCACGATGGAATATGAACATGGAAACAGACTCACCTTTTTGTTCTCTTTTCAAAAGTGACTACTCTCTTCCTTTCTTAACCATCTTTTTTTTCATCTTGGTGCATTCTCGTTTGATGTGCTGATATCAAGTGTGCGAATTTGGATCGCTTAACAGTTGATTGAAATTGATTAACTTAATGTCAAATGTGTTAGTGTATGTGCTCTTTGTCCTTTTTCTCTCTCTCACTTAAGTTTTTATGTATTTCTACTATACTTTAGCGAATTCCTTCTACTAAATTGTTATTCGTTCGACATTTTATTGTTCTACAATTCTGTATGCCATTATCCATATATATATATATATATATATATATATATATATATATATATATATATAATCTATCCTGACTAAAATATGTATTTTCAGGTTGCATTTAGCTGATGAATACTCCTGAAATAAAACACCACTTTATTCTGTTTGTTCTGGTTTTGTTAAAATTCCTTCGGGGAACAAAATGTACGAAATTTAAAACTATTCAAAAAAGACCATCAAAACACCGCCATTTTAAATGCATACTGTCAAATTTGGCTGGATACAACAGGTTTATCTGTTGTTGTCCTTCAACAACTTGCCTTTTAACATCTCTTTTAAGTTGGAAGAGTATTGGTCGAATTTCATAAGAACAGTATCTAACAATTAAGAAAGGTTGGTATAATTAGATGCAATCGACTAGTAACTTCGGAAGTAAATCAGTCTCATGGCAAGAAATATCTAGCTTAGTGATTATTACAATCCGTAGACAGTGGATTTAAATAATTTGATTATCTGGATTGACAGCAGAATAATGTTCAAACGTCTGCGAAATATAATCCGGGAAATTCCCAAAGATAACTGGTAGGTGATTAGGTGACATTCGAAATAAGAGTAAAAGTCAACGTATTCATTTCAGAGTCACAGCTTTAGGTTAAACCTAAAGTTTATGACTGGGTTTAAAAAGCAAATCTCAAGAGTGAGTAACATTCATAAAAGTGCCAATCAAACTATATATATATATATATATATATATATATATATATATATAAAACTTTTTGAACAGAACTTTCTAAATCAGTACCTGGATTTTTCTCAACCAGCTTTTCCAGATCAACCAATTTCTGATGTTCACCTAAGAAGTCAGCAGGAGTTCGTTTACGGGAAGTCTGTTGTTCTTGTTGTTGTTCACCAGGTGAAGACGAGGTTTGGGTGTTTTGAAGTGAAATAGACTGTTTTTGTTGTAACTGTTGTTGAGAGAGTTCATCATTAGCTGAATTCCCATTCACATCAAAATCAAAATGACCGTTATTGTTGTTCATGTTACCACTGTTAGCATGATGATGAGATGAACTTGTTTCATTATTTATATTAGAAGTAGACGGTAATGCGGAACTTAAACTGGATTCTAAATTCCAAAAAGCATCTGAATTACTTGCAGTAGGATGTGTTGGAATACTTGGTTGACCTATAGAAAACGAATAGAAAAGTGCTGAGCACGATATATATATATATATATATATATATATATATATATATATATATATATATATATATATGACAAAACTACAAAAAAGGTTTATTTCCAGACACAGATGAAGCCACATGAAGTCTAAAACCACCAGTTTCTTACACTGTGAAGATTCCAATCAAAAATGAACTCCCCTTAAGGACAAGCAGTCACCGGTTTCAAATGACACCAACTCTCCATAGGGTCATTCAAAGGCTCAAATTGTTCTACTCTTACTTCTGTCAAAATGACAAAGAAACACAAAGATAAAGAATATGTAACAAGCGTTCCGTCGAATAACTGCTACCATGTTTGAGTCATTATGGAAAATGAAATAAATTGGAGTCTGAAACTACAAATAGGCGGATAAAGGTTTGATTCTCTTTGACCAGAAAAATCAATAATTTGTGAACTAAATAGTCCGATGGTTAGTATTTTTAAGTGGAAAACCAGCTTGAAAAGTTGGGAAACCCATATATTACATCGTTTAGGTTAATAATATAAACAAACACAAGATGCTCACAACAAAGGTACTGATTTTCAAAAAAAGAAAAGAGATTAGTGATTATCCGAAATGAAGAAAGTAAGACATCAACCAAAATGCACTCTGAAATGACATTCACATTCCTGCGGTAAGCAATGAGCCACACCTGTTGTGTGAGGGTTAATGATACTACCTAGCTACCAAGAACTGGGTACGTAGAGCGAGGTTCCGACCGGTGCCCCATAAGTTGAAAGTCAAATGCATAGAGCGATGAGCTACAGCTCCACCTGACATCAGTAATTCACTAAGATCACTTTTTAACTCCTGATAGATTCATAAAGTAGAATTAATTAATTCACGTTAAGAAATTTATCAGAATAGATTAATAAACTAAAATCAATGTGAACTGGCAACTAGTTGGATGGAAATTTAAAAGAGGTCAACCACAAAATTTAATGTCTAGTTTTTCTTTTGATTGGCATATAAAATTGAGGAAGTTATGATGACTAGCTTCTCAGCAACCAACTAAGTTAAAACCATTTTAAATTACAAAGTAGAGGATAATTGGTCTACATCCACACCATTATATCAAGCAACAAATTAACCGTATCAAACGAAACCATCCGTTATCGCAAAAAGGATGTAGACCAAGTATGGTTATTGATGTGTGCAGCGTCTTTGACATTTATCTACATAAACCTTCTTGACTTTCAAAATGTCTTCTCAAACCAACTATAGTGATGTTGACTCGGCTAGCAGAAAATCAAGGCAGTCGATAACAAATGACTGATTACTTGCTGTTTTATGTGTTGACACAGACAATTACCGTTTTATAGATATCAGGATCACCAATTTAACTCGAAAGTAGGCTGAGGATCGCGTGGATGATTCAGGATGAAAAACATACCTGCAAAATTTCAGTGAAGCAGAAAAATGAATTTTCGACGTTGGGCAACCTTGACAAAGTAAGTTCCTCAGGGAACACAACCTGTGTAAGTCATCACATGGTAACACAGTAAATGGAACAAATCACATTACGCTGGTCAGTCACATTGCATACAGTACAAGACAATATGAGATATGATATAAGCATCTAATAATACCAATATTTCTAAGAAGACAGGTATAACGCTAAATGTAAATCCCCAAGTTACAACAAATGTAGCAATACCACTCAGAAATTGTATATTTCATGGTTATTAATCATAAAAATGATAACACAAGTGATTATTAATTAGTGAGTTCAAGGTAATATGAATTTACAAGTATATGTATTAGTAAGTGGGTGTGAGTGGATATTGGGAAAGCAGCATAGGGCGTACGATATGGCAGGTGAGTCCCCGAATACAACAGTATAAAAGGTGAGGTGAATGAGTGGTGAAAAGTTCCATTCTAGTCCATCTAGTAGACACAGGGCACCATGTAGATGCTAATCAAGCTTTCGATATCACACATCATGTACCAAAAACAATACTACATATATCTCTCCAACGCCTGGCCAACTAAAATGGTGCTGTCGCAATAAGATTGATCAAACTTGGACTGTGCATTCAGAGAGATCATGTTCAAGCGTTATTCCTCCCTTGGTCTTCATTTAACTCAAGACCACTCCAATCTTCGTTATTAGTTGTCTTTTCATTCACCATAACATTATTTATCTGTATAATATCATACAAATAATGACAACTTAGAGAAGAAAAATCGATTTCATTACTGCCCCTAAATCTCACTCTACCTTGAAAGCGTATTTTTCTTCAACTTGGCTTGATTTTACGCTGTACAAATGTATCTTATAATTGTAGAACCTGATAAAAATTTATTGAGAATATTCTGCGTTCAGATTGCTGCTTTTTATTAATGAAAAATACAGTTTATGTAAGTAGTTTTGTGACAAGTTTTGCTACTGGTGGAATACGTGATATATTTGATCCCATTAGCGTAGGTTCGGCATTGTTTTCTATCAAATAATTAAGACTTCACATGATATGGGATGTCTCAGGTATCTATACCTCCTTGTAGTTGAAAAACTCTTTTCAGTAATTCCAACATTTCAAATATCGCTCTCCTTGTTCTGCTCTGGAAGATGAGATGAATTGCTATGGCGAATATCCTTCTCGTCCTACCAAATTATTCAGGACTCTTTAGCGTGAATGAGGATTTCACGAGACGACGCTCAGATGTAATAAACACCGCACCCAACACAAAATGCATACAATTTCGTGAACTAAAGCATTTCTGCGTGTTAGTTACTTTTTACACAGCTGTAATTCAGTGACTTCTTCAGATTCTTGTTAATTCTTCCATCGTAACATGGCGGAAAGATGGAATTATTAGGCTGATCGATCAAACAGCGACCATTTGAGTTCCTGTAGGATCTATTTGCTTCTTCTTTTTAATCACCTGAACACGTCTTGATGATTATCTATTGGAATGCATAATAGCAATTACATCTTACGCTTCTGTTCGCCTTCCTTATTCATTTATGGTTACATTTGTTACTCTTCTGAATAGGTTTAGCGTAATGGAAGTTTAACAATAAAAGATTGTGTTCAAGAAGGTATGGTATCAATCTGAATGTATTAATTCATAAAATGGACCGATAAATCCAAGCTTCCACTTACATTTATTTTATTTCATTTTCACAAATGTGCGAAGGATAAACAATTAGTTACTTAGCAATGGCCTTCAGGAGTGTATGATTCAAATATATATGTATATGATTCAAATATCTCAAGTAAATAAGCAGTCGTATAAAGCAGAAGAAACCCAGAGAATTAATGTGAAACATATAGAAATTTACAATGAAGGGGGATCATGAGAATCAATTACTACTCGATTTGTATGTTTATATAGCTTACCGTCAAAAGTGAATAGGGACAAATCCAAAGAAACTTCCAGCGATTTAATATTTAGAACCAAAAGAGATTTACCTGATAGTGCATAATCACCTTCCAATAAGTTAATTACAAAATCTAGACAACTTGCAGTAAGAATACGAGTATACACTCATAAAACATCCTGAGTTAACACCGCTGGACTTCATGCTATAGTTAATTCTGCGATCTTCGGTTTAAAATTTAAAAAAAATTTTGACTGAGATGAAAATGAAAGCTGGGAGAGACGTTAGTGTGAACACAGGATATTTTGAAAGGCTTTATATTGGAAGACCAGTTCCAACGGGGTATCACTTAACAAGCCTAAAATCTAACTACTTTGCAACTAACCGGTCATCTATATAGTACTACAGTTGACAGAAACTTATCCACTCATCTTCCGAAAAACATGACTTTCAGATAATTGGACATAGAACTCAGTCGTGTAACATTCCACTGATCTTCCATAAGCTTTCGTTTATATTTCATTTCCTACCAAAACCAGTTTAAGCTTGAACAATGACTTCAGACACACTCTGATTCACGGAACTATCAGATTCATATTTTATCCAAGCAGTAATATTAATTCGTTATGATAACTATTCGACCACCTACATGCACAGAACTTTGGTGAAAACGTAGTACTCTGCCAAAACGAAACTGAGAAATCATACAACATAGTAATAATTCCAACTTAACGACCATACAGAAATCCATATAACAAGATAACAAAACATTCATTGTGCAATGAATAATAATACTGTCTAGCTGACAAGAACCTCAATAGACTGAATGGATTACAAACATAAGACTTACTTAAAAGTTTTGAAACTATTCTGCCACATGAATGTCGGAAAAGAGGAGAGAAGAGGTGTACACATGTCTTCTAGGCGTTTAGAGGTATACATACAATGAAATGTAGAGGTAGTTCGGAAAATGACGTGAACTGCCATCGATGAAGAGCACAGGATATCTTTGAACCCTTCTAGGCTTACAGTTGATCAGTAACTGACCAGGTTTTAACTTCTTAGTGTATCATATAGTAAAAAATGCGGAAAATAATCAAGCGACGCAACAAACAGAAAACTTCGTATCACAACCTAGGAAATCACACATGGATCTTCCTACGTAATAAAGTCATTCCACAGAAATCGAAATTCCCTTCTTCTCATTCACATCACTAAAAACACGACTTCCAAGCATTTGACTTCGAAAGATAAAAGTCCAAAGATTAGTAATATACATAGTGTATTTATCTCTCTCTCTCTCTCTCTCTTTCTCTCTCTACATATATATATATATATATATATATATATATATATATATATATATATATATATATATATATATATATAACATCGCCTCGTTCATCAGTTCACTACACGGTTCTACGCCCGCGTAAAAGAGTGAAGGTAGGATATAGGGTTAACAACCCTACCCCGGAAAACAAATCTAACCGCTCAAGAAACTTCAAAGCATAGAGAAATTATATAAAAAATAAAAATAAACTTATTCCTCGCTGAAATCGGAAGGACAAAATAACGCCAATTGGTGACAACCTGCCTTCGGGAAACCAGTCGCCCGATGTGTCTTCTCTTCTCTCAATGTAAGCGAAAGTAAGCATAGGGACATGGAATGTCCACACTATGTTTGAACCTAGCAAGGTTGCCCAGGTTGCAAAAGAAATGAGAAGGTATAGCATAGAAGTGCTAGGAATCTGCGAAAGCAGATTCAATTGAAGTCGACTCTCCAAACTCTTAACTGGAGAGTCAATAATCTACTCCGATATTGTCACACAGACGACAACCACCAGCACACCAAGTTTTCGAGTGGCTATCATGATGTCCCCAACAGCATCGAAGGCTCTCATGCAGTGGGAACCAATCTCCTAAACGATCATGACAGAAAGATTCAACTCAAAAGAAAGGAAAGTCACAATCATACAATGCTACGCTCCTACAAATAATGCAGAGCAAGAGAAAAAGGAGAAATTCTACGGACAACTGCAATCAGTACAGGACAAGACTCCACTTGGCGACATCAAAATTCCAATGAATAACATGAATGCCAAACTCGGAGTGAACAACACAGGAAGAAAACTCATCATGGATCGCAAAGCACCCGGTGAGATGAATGAGAATGGAGAACTCTTTGCAAACTCCTGCGCATTTAATGATCTGGTGGTTCGAGGCAGCGTGTAAAAACACAAGGATATTCACAAGGCAATGACACGGATTTCACCAGACACACTAAAATCAGATCGACTTCAACTCAATCTCAAGAAAGTGGAGATGCAGCCTACTCGACACAACATCAAGAAGGGGAGCAGATATAGGTTCACACCACTCACCATCTGGTGCAAGTGACCTTCAAAATCAAGTTGAAAGCTTTCAAAGAAGCTGGTCATAGACGACCACAGTCCCAGTTTAACACCCAGAACAGAAACTGAAAAGAAGGACGAAGCTATCAAGAACATCTTCACACCAACCATCAGAACAAAATGGGAGACATTGAGCAACATCCCTGAAGGAACCTGCGTGGAAGAACACTGGAACTCTTTGAAAGCTATGTGGAAAGAAACCTACACAACCATATTGGGAAGGAAGAAGAAACTAGACAAGGAATGGATCTCCACGGACACAGGAAGCTGATAGAGGAGAGGAAGATAGTGAAGCAGAAGATGAACTAATGCAGTCCAAGGCAGTGCAGCGATGAACAAAGAATAGAGGAACTGAATACAACCCATAAAACACTACACTGGGCAAAGAAGTGAAGGAGAGTGCGTGCAAAGACAAAAAACACTTCTACGACACACTAGTGAAGCAGAACAGGCTGCAGGTAGGAGAGACAGAGACCTGACAACACTATATCAAATAACCACGTTACTATCTGGGAAGAGATCAACACAGACGAAACCAATGAAAGATAGTGAAGGAGACTTAGTCAACAAAGAGGAGTAACAAAAGAAACAATCACCTGACCACTTCAAAAAACTCTTGAATCGACCACCACCTGCAACTCGTCCAGATATACCACCAGCAACCGCAGAACTACCAGTGTACACAAGCCCTCCAACAGAAGCAGATGTCAAGTTCTGAATGCCACAAAGTTGCTGAAATTCGGGAAAGCAGCAGGACCAGATGGAATTCCACCAGAAGCACTGGAAACAGATGCAGAGACAACAATGGACATGCTCACACCACTACTGCAGGTTCGCAAGGAAGGGAACGTACCTGCCCAATGATTGGAAGAAGGGCTACCTTGTCAAACTTCCAAAGAAGGGAGACCTAAGTCTTTCCAAGGACTGGCGAGGAATCATGCTCCTGTCCACCTCAAGATAAATATTAGGCCACATCATCCTGGAGACATTAAAAAGTGCTCTGCATTCTAAATTACGACCGGAACAGGCTGGCTGGCTGGCCTCAGGAAGTACAAATCATGTCCAAACCAAATTGCAACGCTGCGCTACGCATCATCATAGAACAGAGCATAGAATGGCAATCAACTCAACCTCAACTTTATCGACTTTGAAAAGGCCTTCGACAGCATCAACCGAGAAGTAATTTGGCAGTCAGCTGCTTCAACACTACGGTTTCAGTGCCATAGACTTTTATCAACCTCATTCAACAGCTACATGCTAAATGATGCTACATGCCAAGTGATTCATAGTGGAAAGCTCAGCGATGCCTTTGAAGTGAAGACAGGAGTAAGACAAGGTTGCTGCTCACTATCACCGATGATCTTCCTGATTGTGGTCGACTGGATCATGTAACAAACTGTGAGGAGCGCGGAGAAGAGCATACGCTGGCTTGACCCATGAAAAGACCCTAGAAAATTTGGATTTCGCTCATGATGATTTATGTCTAATATCGCACAAACTCGAAGATCTGCAGGCGAAAACTAACAAGTTGACAGAAGAGGCAGCGAGGACGGGGTTTCAAGTGAATGTAGAGAAGACGGAGGGGATGAAGATACTCAACTAACAACAACATCAACAAAAATAACCAATCACCATAAACGGGAGAAATCTAACGGAAGTAGTCTCTCTCACCTACCTAGGCAGCATCGTTCCAACTACAGGTGGCACAGATGAGGATGTAAAAACCAGGATCGGAAAAGCAAGACAGGCCTTCCTGCATTAACCTGAAATCAGTGTGGAGATCTACTGCACTCAGCATTAAGCGTGAACAAGATCCGGATTTTCAACACTAATTCAGTCAAGTCAGTGCTGCTGCTATATGCTTGAGAAGCCTTGTGCGTTACGAAAGGGATTTCCAACAAGCTATAGACATTCATCAACAACTGCCTACGCTGGCTCGTTACTGAAGATCAGATCAGATGGCCAGGAACTCTGAGAACGAAGCAACCAAGAACCTATCACCCAAAAAATATGCAGAAAGAAGTGGAGATGGATTGGATTGGGCATTCACTGAGAAGGTCGACTGGGGACAGCACGCTTCAGGTCCTCGAGTGGAACCGCGAGGGGAAGCGATGAGTTGGGCGTCCGAGGGTGACGTGGAGGAGATTGTGCGAGGAGGAAATGAGAGCTTCTCGGCTGTCGTGGAGTCAGGTTTAAAAGACTGCAGAGAACAGAGCGCATTGGAGACGTGCTACTGAAACTCTATGTCCCATTAGGAACCCAAGGGACAAATAATAATAATAATAATTGTTTTATATATATATATATATATATATATATATATATATATATATATATATATATATATATATATATATATATAAGAGCTACACTTAGTATTCAAATGAAACTCAAATCTGTAAAATAAACTTTTCAAGCATTACTTTTTGGACTCCAAGGATCATCAATAAGTATGAGTGGAAATGCAGACGATGGTGCAGGTGTATTGGCAAATGATGTAGATGGAGAAGGTGGTGCTGCATTATTCAGTGAACTATTTGGAGGTGCTAACGGCACTGACCAAGGATCTGGTAAATGTGCTGGTGCAGCCGATAGAGAAGTATCAACTAAGCTGAATAATCCTCCGCTAGAAGCACAAGTTGGAGATTCAAAGGCACTGGATGCTGAAGGAATATTGGAAGTTGAATGTCTACCTGATTTATCCTTCTGTAAACAAGAGAGTAGAAGGACACAGTAAAAAGCACAAAGTGTTGAACTAACTTCTAGCAGTATGTCCATATGTTTTCCTTAATAACTGAGGTAAAATAAACACGCACAAACTTAAAGCTAGTACTAGGTTAAATGTAAGGAATTTATTGATTAGACTAAAGGGAAAATGCTGAAATGTATTAAATAATGTCTGATGTATTAAAAAAAAGTGGATGCCTTAGGGAAATTAAGTACTTTGAAAGTAATACACAATTAAAAATCAAGAAAGCTATTTCTTCACAATCAACGTTTCTATCACCACACTTGAGTTTTACTGTGAAAGCTGATAAGAGAGTATAAGCAACTGAGGAGCTCCAAACTGTGATGCGATGACCACCTTCCACTCTACGTCTTTCTTTTCAATGACGTAGGTATAACTCAGTTAATAGCTTAGGGTCTCAGTACATGACCCGATAATTCAACGCGTAACGTGAGTTCTGAGTATTGTGAGTTAGAAACATAAGTAGTTGTACAGTGATACTATTGCCTCAAATTAATAGTTAAGTTTACCACTCAAAGAATTTATCATCATTGAGGTTATGGCACAGAAAAATATAAAAAATACTTTAAGATTCATAAATGACAGACGATTGCAGGACAAAAGAAAGATACATTTCGCCAAAAATTATGATTGGTGCAGAGGTCAAAGGTGTTACCAGAATAAACATCACAGTACACAAATTTATGAGTGAATGAAGACAAACGTATATTTTAGAGGGACAAAAATACATCGGGTATAGTGAGCTCAGTGGGTATATGAATTGCTTTGAGGTTGGAAGAAAGGCACCCATTTCAATCACCGACAGCAGTAGAATAAACAACAGCTTGTATAAGCTAAGAGAAATGCATAAACTACAAAGTGACTAAATAACTAACTAACCATCTGATGCTTTTCCTGTGGAGAAAAAAGTAAGTACAGAAATAATAACTAACACAAACCTAACTAAATAATGCTAAATGTATGCCGATTTCGAAGCAAAAAGTCAGACAGCAACAAGAACTAACTTGTCTTATGTGTTATTTAAAAATAAATCCCTTCAAACTACGGTATCTATGTGCAGTCTAGGATCGACTGAGAAATAAAACAGGGAAAATTTGATGCTGTAAATGGAAATGATTATTTGTGTGTTAATATGATCCTCAGTCTTTTTTAGTTGAACTTAACAATATCAGGTAACTAAGTTGTCAGATTGAAACAATCGTCTGTTAGTACGAGGAACGATTATAAGATTTTGAAACAGCACCCTAAAGTTCAAGTATATGTCCTTTTAGGTTCAAAAATGAGTGTAAATTAGAAAGTGAGAACTATACGTGTCACTAAAATACTTTTCAGAGAAGTGCAACAATATTTACCAAGTATTATTATTATTAAGAACACACTGCAATTGTCTTAATAATCTCCTGTATAGAACAAGTTTAAAGCTTGGCATGAACTCGTGCAACTGGCTTCTACTAGCTTATTAGAATTATGAACATCCACCGAGAACTAAGCTCAAGAAAAAAGGATTCTAAAACAACCACAGGACAATATTAGAAAAACATAAATCATCATCAAAATCGAAATAGGATCAGCCATTACTGCGTAACTGTCGAAGTTACCACACCTTATATCAGCAAACTAAGTAACAAGGCAAAATGGGAGGTGAAGAAGGAGAGAAAATTCGGTCAAGAGAAGTAAAAAGTAGTAAAAGAGAGAAAGGAAGAATGAGAAGATGGTGAGATTAGGAATAGCGGTTACGGTAAGCCACTGACACCGGTTCCCAGCTATATCACCTTGAGTCTCTAACCACTAGTTTCCCTTGTCCCGCGGACACCAACCGGCTAGTCCTCATTGCCCTACATGGCTTAACCGAACAGTCGAGGATTCCAAGCATTAATGTCATATTTTAGTTTCCCCCCCTCCCCCCCTCCCGAGCCCTTTTCTAGCCTGAACCTACTTTAATCAACAGTATGCAACGAGGTAGATGGTGGTTAGGCATACGTAACACATGTCCCAGCCATTTCAGTCGATGAACGTTCATAACTGCATCAACTGACTTACCTCTTCTCCTCAAAACTATGTCTGACTTCTACGTTTCTCAAGTAGTGACACCACGAAACACAACCTATACTACGAAGGTAACGGTGGTCAAACGCCTGAAGCCTTCTCATGTCTTCTAGATTTAATGGCCATGTTTCACAGCCATAAAGCAGAACATAGCGGACTGCAGCACAGTACACTCAAGACTTGATAGACAATCGCATAATCACAGTGGAGCCACAAGATGGCGTAAGTTGGCAAAAGCCAATCGAGCTTTTCGTATCCGTGTGTAGGTTTCGTCAGCCACTGACCCACCAGGGCTGATCCGACTTCCCAGGTAAGACAAGTGTTCAACGCACTGAACCACGTCATCCTCAATCGTTAGTCAGGGAACCGTTGAAGACCAATCCTGCTCTTCTTAGACAATCTTGGAGATTTGGCTGCTGCCTTCAACGCTGTTTTTACAGCAAATGAGAGACGGCACCAAGCTCCTTCTGGATGAGTGATAGTCGTCTGTTCCGATAACGTTCTCGAGCTGTACTCGCAATGGTCTTGTTGCTAACGTTTTTCTACATCCATTGGGACGCAGACATAAACACGCTCGAACCAACGCGTGGTCGCTATCCAGAGCGGCAGTCTTCCATCGACCATCTCCAGAGATGACTGACAGCAAGGTGGTCTATCTGTGTCCGTCGCTGAGTTGAGCTCGGTGGACGCTACGTCGGACAATGTCCTTCTTTATTTCTGAAGTTTGTGCTAGCAAAGAATAAATGGTTATCTGAGCACAGTTGTACCAGGCAATCGCCGTAATCTGTTCGTTCACACAGGATTCCGAAAGTACCACCTAAGTGCCTTCCTGTCTGACTCCGCCTAAATACCTGTGCATTGAAATCACCTACAACCACCACCACGTCTTAAAGTTTGACTTTCAGAAGGAAACTAGACAATTTTCGGTAGGACTCATCCTTCACCGCATCGCAACAGCAATGAGTGCGTAAAAAGAGATTACAAATAGACAACAGCGAGTTTCATTATTCCTGTTAGTTCTTATTGTGCCGTTCAGCGGACAGCGCATAGGCAACTGTTAACTGGGATCCAGTCTAGTAGTGAGCTTTCTGCCCTAGTGCTTAATGCCATTCCTACACCAGCAATATCGCGAGAACTAGCCAACCAATCTCCAGAAAATCGAAGGTTGAACTTTTCAAATTCATCATATTGACCGGGAGAGTTAAAGTGAGTAACCGCACTTGGGTCATGTATGGGTGTCTTACAAACACAGCACACATCCATGGCCCAAGCTGCTATAGTTTTGGCCAAGTTGACAGAGGGTGCAAACAGTGAAGGCCCCCAATTTGTAATTTAGGGCGTGATTTAAGAAGACCAAGAATGCTGTTGTGTGGACCCATCATTGTCGAAAGATTTAGTGCTAGAAGAAACTAAAGATGATGTAGGATTGTTAACTACGAGACGTGGAGGAAGACCAAAAGGTAAGGGTGAGGGAGGTGGGTAGTGGTCAGAGGGAACATGAGGGCTGATATAGTTGTAAGAGCGGTTGACACTTCCCCGCTGCTCACATCGTGGAAGAGAAAGATATAAAACAACAGAAAAAGGGCATTATATCGAGGGAAGGAAGAAATCAGACAGTTTTTACAGATTACTTTTTCCGCGAAAGATAAGCGTAATTCCAAGGTGAATATACAGTGATTTCAGTCATCTTTAATACATCTGGGGCCACTCGTTAACATTATTAACCGAACTCTCATCTAAGCGTGATGGCAACTCTTCAGCAGACTACTGCTTTAATCTTCACGACAACTCATGAAACAGAAAATCAGTTTTATATACAAGGACCTGCAACGTGCCACTAACTAATATGGGGCTTCTGTCCTGTAACAGCAGCTGTACACTTAATGAGCAACATTAGGTTTTACATACAGCACCACTATTTTTATGAAAGTTATTTTTAAGTGGTGCTCAATGCATCTAAACAGTAGAGTAGCTAGTACGCTGAAAAGAGTTTAGTTGTTCAGACTGCTTCTCTTAAGTTATTGAATTTTACAGAATCGAATATTAATCGTTGGCGTTAGCAAATCTCCAGCTAGGTGATCGTCAATGTTCGTGTACAAACATGATTGTACTTTATGACTTCGTTGAAGAATTTCAGGGCAATCCATTAGTTTGATATTGTTTTGAACCTGTACAACTGCACGTTAAGGGAAGGTGTGTTGAAGACTACGTTGTGCAGACAGTAGAATTGTAACACATTCTAAACCTACCTCATTTACCTTCCAAACTACTCTATTTCCCCATCATTAACGTTTGGCAATCATCTTTTATTATCCATCTCGGCCTATGTTTTTCTTCTGATCTTTCTTGGTCCCCTCGAGTCTTATTGATTTCCAAGGAAATCCTTTGCTTAACCTTTTATAATAGGAGGAAAATCAGATTGTCTAGTATAACTGCCTCTACTCTTACCTTTCATTAATTCCTGTGTTTTCCCTACACTTACTCACTGACTTCCCTCATTTTTTTCTGGACTCCGGGAAAAAAGACTACGCTGTATGGGTAGGATTTTGAAGGCTATTAGTACAGCGAGTGGTACAGCACTAACCATGCTGATAAATGCAGTCATGGACAGGCGTCTAAACTCTTGTAGACAGCTGGCTAAAAACATATTTCACCTGACGATAAGCATCCTCTGAATCTGCACCTCTCTTCATGTCTGTCCTCTGAGAAGAAAAAAGGCAAAGATATTAAACTCCACGCACGCACAACTACATGCAAATATTCAACATTATAACCTACTTTAGCCAGTGTATTGTGTGAAGGTCATATTACACATAGTCTTATCAACCAACTTTGCAAAAGAGAACAGACACCATGACCCTGAGGTCAGTAAACATTCAACAATCACGCTATTCCTTATTGTGTTTCTAAACAGCACCATTACTAATATACATTAGAGAAACCTTGCACGATTCATAAAGTTATGCAATAGCACACCCTAGAAATTCCGCACTGTAAAAACAAATGCAGCACGGAATAAAGCGAATATACTATAAGTAGCATTATTCGTTTTACCTTTAGTACCATTACGATAGCACCTCCTCAGGTTAACTAGTTAACTAGCTACTGATCAGTCCCAAACTCGGATAAAGAGGGATGGTAGGACATAGGGTTAACAACCCTACCCCGGAAAACAAATCTAACCGCTCAAGAAACTTCAAAGCATAGAGAAATTATATAAAAATAAAAATAAACTTATTCCTCGCTGAAATCGGAGACAAAATAACGCCAATTGGTGACAACCTTCGGGAAACCAGTCGCCCGATGTGTCTTCTCTTCTCTCAATGTAAGCGAAAGTAAGCATAGGGACATGGAATGTCCACACTATGTTTGAACCTAGCAAGGTTGCCCAGGTTGCAAAAGAAATGAGAAGGTATAGCATAGAAGTGCTAGGAATCTGCGAAAGCAGATTCAATTCAATGGAAGTCGACTCTCCAAACTCTTAACTGGAGAGTCAATAATCTACTCCGATATTGTCACACAGACGACAACCACCAGCACACCAAGTTTTCGAGTGGCTATCATGATGTCCCCAACAGCATCGAAGGCTCTCTCTCTCATGCAGTGGGAACCAATCTCCTAAACAATCAGGATCATGACAGAAAGATTCAACTCAAAAGAAAGGAAAGTCACAATCATACAATGCTACGCTACGCACCTACAAATAATGCAGAGCAAGAGAAAAAGGAGAAATTCTACGGACAACTGCAATCAGTACAGGACAAGACTAACAATTAGTTACTTAGCAATGGCCTTCAGGAGTGTATATATATATATATATATATATATATATATATATATATATATAT